GACTGAGATTTGTATGGTCAAATCCATGTTTCAGTTAAAGGAAAATGCATGCACAGTCTTCTGATTTTCCCTTCGATTAAGGATTCTGTATATACTAGCATAAGAAATATATTAGTTAATGCAGTGTTATACATCAATATTTATAGACAATTATTGTGGCTATGTTTATTATAATTTTGTTCACTGTAATGGCTGGAGTGCCTAAACCATCATGCTGTGTAAACAAAACTCAAATCTTCATCTCTGCATACTGCTCCACTAGTGTTTAAAAACCACTGAAATGGTGATTATGGTAGAACATCTTTGGTAAAAATTTACTCTACTGTAACCCTTGGCGAATCGTTTCTTTTTTTTATATCAAGATCGTCACCTGAGAGGATCGGCACACAATTTCAAGGTGGCCGCTACACAAAACCAAAATAAGAAGTCAAAGACATACACAAACTCTGTGTCCATGTACACATCGACCTATTAAAACAGAGAACTGCACAAACTGGGCATTGTGCACTGCCTTAACTTTGTCCATGTACACATTGATCTATTTTCACTTTAAGAAAATCAGAAAGTTAAAAATATCATAGTTACCAGAAAAAATTCGCCACTGTCTTAACACACAGACAACCAAAAATACACAGAGAGGAATAAGTTACCAAAAATACATATTTCCTAACATAAAAACATTAAACAACAAATCTTCTAACAAAAATTAACACACAGAGACAAAAAAATAAATGAAACGTCATTTTTTTAACATACCTTTTTTTTCACATGCATATGTTTAGGCTTCCCACCACCATCCTCCAGGTAAGCAATTCAATTAAATTTTTCGTCTCTTAGTCACCTCAGACATACTCAAACGATGGTACCCACACCAAAATAATAAATAGCATGTTCAAAATACAAGACCATACCACTTCCGTGCAACCAAACACAGCAATTGAAAAGAATGGTAAGAACCAAAAACCTGGGACCGTACAAAAGGTTTACTATTAAAAAAAGTAGCCCAAAACTAAATTTATCACAGCACGTTGGCAATATTTGCAGAAATAACTCCTTTTTATTGACAAAAAAAAAAAGTTTTTTTTTTTTTTTTCCCCCAAAGGCTACTTTCGCCAACATTATCAACATTAGGGTTACCGAAAAACTTATTTGACGCAATGGGCTTCCACATTTCACAAACAACCAATACCACTTTGCGATTTTTTTTCAGACAGAAACCAAGGTGTACCATACAGTAAAGATTAGCCACATCTTCATTTACTACTGTTACAAGTACTTCTTTGGTAAATTTCTGCGGTTAAATTCAAAAGTTTAAAATTGCATTAACATGATCAGATTCAGAGTCATAGCTAGGGTTTTCAGCGCTCAGGGACAACTGAAGATTTCGCTAAAATGGAAAACATTTTAAAATTTTCTCAGTTTAAATTCAGTTCTGCACCACAGATGCCCCCCTTGCCCCCCTCTAGCTACCCCTGATCAGATTTTATTTCTGCACGTAGCTAACAATTACTTATGTGTTGTCAGATAAATGTTACCAGATGCAGTTAATTATTTTTTACTTGCCAATCTCATGAGACAAGTTTTTTTTGCTCCTGCAAGACTTTACTTTGTGTTGCAAAATAAATTCATTCTCACTCTTTTTGGACTTGCCTACACATTAAATTTAAAATAGTTTTATGAATAGGTAAGATGTGATTATCATAATTTTGTTTCTCTCTTTATCTTGGCAACTTTATATGTTGATTCAGTATCCAGGTTACCTACCAGTGGCTGATTGATAAAACTGCTCATATGTTCAGCTGGTGGTTTGAGTTTATTTTCTGACATAAAAAATTTTAAAAGGCATCCCCCATGTTTATTTTACTATAATCGAAAAATCAAATAATTGCTACTCTGTTTATAGGTACTAAATGTTAAAATATTTTAAATGCTTCCTTTAATTTGCATTCTAATAGTCATTTGTTTAAATTTAATTATGAATTATATTCACATATAGTAATTGTGAGTGTTTTTTTTTATTTTAGGTGCTGTGAAAGGCAATGACAGAGATCCAATTTATCAAGAGTTCTTATATACATAAGAATACATGGATATAAGATTGTTTTTCATGAATTCAAATAAAATGTGATAAATTGGATTAATAAAAACTATTTTGAATTTTGAAAAGTGTTTTTCCTTTGTTAATCATAATATAGTGCCATAAATTTCTGAATGTGTTTATTTTTCATCCAAATAAATAGCTTTACAAAAATTTGTCATATTAATAGATATTGCATAATTTAGCATTATTATAAATATTTATTATAGCAGATTTAGCTGAACTACTTTTTTTTAGTGTCTTTGCAGATGAAGTCACAAAGGTAAGTGGTTAGATATTTTTCTGTATTCCCCATTAAGTAATTTTATCTGGTAAATTACCATTACTTATATACTAAAGGTGAAAGAATAAGCTTTCCTTGAAGATACAAAAATTTGCAGATATTTCAAAAAATTGGTATACGTAAAAAAGTTCTTAAATTGCCACATATGCGAAACTGAAAATGTTATATATGAAATAGTTCAGAAATATAAATATTTTCACTATTTTTTAACTATAATTCACTGCATTTGTTATATATATACACAGTTTAAGGTAGCAGTGCTTTTCTCACTGTGATTTCTCATGTATTTTGATTCATAAATACACGTACATAAATCCACGTATTTTGATTTCTCTTTTGAGACCGAATAAAAAATGAACTAAACATTCTCGTTGACATTGAGAGTTGAATAAAAGCTCACCTCAAAATAAAATGAATTAATAAATTTATGGAAAATTTTACATTGCATATATTGAGCAGAAAGAGTAAACTGAATATACTTAATGGAATTAATAATTGGTAGAGTTGATAGCAGAATAAAATGCCTTAATTGCATGGTAAACAGTAGATCTTTTGAAGTTTTTCTATGTTGCGTAAAATGCAGATTTAAATTTTTGATATTGATTGTCATATAAATGGCAATTACTGTTTTATTTTGCTCTGAAATGAATGGTTAGTAATAAAATTCTGGATGAGACAACCTTTAACATGCGCTAGAATTTACAAAGTTTAATTTGGTGCTGATTTCAACGGGTAAATTTCATTTTACTGAATTTTGCGTAAAATAATACCAATGAACCATTGCAAATTATTTTCAGAACTTTTTTTTTTAATCTAAAAGGGCTATTAGTTTTGAAATGTGACTTCATATCGTCAGTCGTAAACTTGTTTCGCTTTTCATTCAAGTCTTGCCATTTGGCAAAATTTAACATATTTACCTTTAAAATCTAATATATTATTGACTAACAAGCCAAGCTATTTAAAAGCATTACACACAGTTCTTAACAATGCTTTTTTTTAATTTTTAATCTGATTGATTTAAAATGCATTTAATTCATGATATATCTAATTGAAAACATTTTAATATTTCTACATAATTACATGATATATTTCTTCATTTTTCAAATATATAGAAGATATATAACTTTCTGGTGTCAGTATCTTATAAAATGTTTTGCTATTTCCACTGCCCCATCTGTATTGATAATCTATGCATTCATAAACTTTTAGCCTCTTTGAGTGACTGCTAAAATCTGAGGCCTTTCAGATTTTTTTTTTTTAATTGTGTGAGCAGAAAGATAGAATTTTAGAAGAGCTTCTTGAGTTACCTTTTGAATGATATAAAGAATTGTTAACATAATGTCAAATTTTTACAACTAAATATTAAATATATAAAAAAGCCTGCAGCATTCTCATGTTACGAAAACATATTTATTTATTCTGAGGCTAGGAATTGATTTAGTTTTAAAAATACAATTTATTCCTTTTAACAATTTCCCAACAGTGTCATCAAAACACTATAAATTCCTTACATGTTTTAAAGAAAGATGATTCATTTATGTAAAGATTATTAAATGGGTAATTTTATTATTCAATTTTTAATACAAATTAACTGAAATTAGAAACTGATTTTGTAAAATAATTTAATTATGAATAATTCAATTTGGGGGCTATTGGATGTTTAAAAATGATCAAAAGATTTTTAATATCTTAAAAATAAAAGCAAAATTTTCAGTTTTAATATTTTGTATTAATAATTCATTTTAATTTCCTTGCTCAGTTTTAATATATTTCACAAATTCAGATTTAAAAACAAAATAAGTTGTATAAATATTTTCAACATTTCTGATTTTTCCATAGTAACCATAGGAGAACGATTTGAGACTATCTGTGTAAAAAAAGTAGGTTTTAGATCATCACACCTTCACATACTTTCACTGGAATTTTCCTCTGTATATATACTGGGATGTGACACTAAGCAGTTGAGAGTATGTATTTAAGAGGTTAAAGGGATATTGTAACTAGTGTTTCAAATCCTGATAACATCCCATACGCTGTCGGTGGGACGTAGATAGGATGTCCTAAGGATATACTGGGATGTGACATTAAGCGCTCAGGAGGATGAGTTTAGGAGGAAATTGGGATATTACGGGATGTCCTGAGGATGTAGTAAGTAGGACTTTAAATCCTAATAACATCCCATATGCTGTCGATGGGACATAGATAGGATGTTTTTAGGATATAATGGGATGTGCTTAGGAGGTTTGTGGGATGTCCTGAGGATGTAGTAAGTAGGAGTTCATATCCTAATAACATCCCGCACGCTGTCGATGGGACTTGGTTAGGATGTCCTGAGGATATCCCGGGATGTGACATTAAGCACTCGGGAGGAGGTTCGCGGGATATTCCGGGATGTCCTGAGGATGTGCGCATATCCCGCGAGCAACATCCTTGGGATATCCCAAGGATGTTTTTGTGCTATGTGGGTGTGTGATCTGGAGTTTTTACCCAAGTCTTTGGAACTCTCATTAAACTGATAATGTGTTTTGATTCTCTTAAGGTCAACCTCCAAACTCGAACGCGTGAGGCATATTTTTAAATGTAAGAATAGAAGCAAAAATCCAAGACAAAATGAAAATAGTGAAGAAAATGTTTAATAACTTAAAAGATGTGTTATTTACAAAAACATTATATACATACTTAAATGATATATGTTAACTTTGTCTCATATGTACATTTACAAAAGAGATGAAAAGTCATCAATGATGTATTTCCTATTAATAATTAGGACTTCATTTTATTCCTTGTTTGATCACAAATTATACTAAAACAAATGATGAATTCTATCGAATAAAAACCGTACATATTATTTGCAATAAAACAAAATTGATCGCGATGTGCAGAATTAGTACATTAATAATAAACACTATAGTATGACAACCTTCCATGGATATTTAATACCATATAAAAATAACATCATTCAAAAATTTAAATAATTCATTATCATTGCATGATCAGCAGTTTTTTTTTTCTTTTTTCTTTTTAATCAACGTCACTAATTTGTGGAAACTAATAAACATTCTCATATAGGATCTCTAACTTTGTGAGATGTAATTAATCCAGTAAGTTTGGCTTCAATGCAATAGACTGGTATTGCTACAAATAGCCGCCTTTGACGCAAACAGATCTTTTAGAATTTAAATAAAGAATACATATGAAGAGGAAGTATACAACCTTCTTATCATTTACTTCTATGTATACAGTTTATCACATTAATCATGATTCTCGCAGATAAATTTCGGTTATAAATTAAAATGTCATAGCTTAATATATATTTAAATACATAAAATAATAACTTTTAATACAGAAATGAAGTTTTGTAACAAAGACATAAAATTCATCTACATTTCAGCACAATTACATTAATAATAAGTTACTCCTGAAGAGGTTATAAATAATTATAAAAGCAGTTTCTTATACTTGAAATATCTCATAATTATACAACTGCTAAATATACAAAATTTAAACTAAAAATAATTTTATATACTTAACAAAAATGTATTGTTTATCATTTTTTGCATAGATATATTTAATTTATAAGATTGGTCATTGCTTAATATGGATTTAAATACAAGAAGTAATAAACTGTTAATACAATGACTTCTATAATAAATCCATGTCATTCGATTAAATTTACCACAATAACACTAATATTAAGCTCTAACTTATGTATTAGTTACAAACTATTACAAACAGCACATATTTAACATAAAATATTTCATCACTATACATACAACTGTTAGAAAATATGAAATTTATAGTGAAAATATTCTTAGGTACGTATAATCCAGAATCATTACCTAAAAGTAGGTATTTTCCATAATGTCTCAAAAATAATTCACGCAACAATTTTAAGTTTAGGAAAATAATTAAATATATTGCTTCAACTAAATATCTGCTCAGTTTTAAAAAATTGTTCAAACAGCACTAACTTGAATCAATGAGTTCACTTGAATGTACCATTTCAAATGTGATTAAAAATTTGAATTTGCCACTTTGCAAAATTGGCAAAATGTATTTTAAACAGCGAATTTTTTTACTCAAAATATTGCTTATCACTTATCTTTTCAAACAGGTTTCTTTTAGATCTATTAACTATAAACACAGTTTCAGCTGCACCAGCACAAACGATGTTAAAATATATCTAATTCATAAAATAACTGTTGCTTTCATTGCGTTTATAATTACAAAACAGCAACACGTGTTAGGTAATACAATTCATAATATCACTCGTCTTGATAAGTGCCACGTAGTATTTGATCACAAATGAGTTATCATCCTATATATCAAGTGCTGTCAGAGTTCCTGTTTGGATACATGACGTGGACGTATGATTGAGAACACTGACTGAGAGATTCCACTTCAGAGTCACAATCACAGTGGATGTGCACAGGAGGTGGGAAGGGCGCTCTGGCCTGTTTTAAGTACCCCTGCTCATGCTGGTGTTCGAGTGCACCATACTGTTCTATATAGAATCGATTACTACGTTTGAGCATGACGGCAGCCACGATTCCAATGATAATGAGGCTAATGATACCAAGCACAAGAACAGAAATGTAGACAGGGCTGACAATGTGAGGGAGGGAAGACGTCGATTTCGACTTGGTTGGAGCATAGAAAGAGGAAGAATCACTTGCTGTTTCTTGTTGATTAGATGATGATATTTCAGCAAGGACAGGAGCTGGTCTTAGACTTGTTTTTTCGGTGAAACCTAAACAAAGATTTAGAAATTCAAAAAATTAAAATACTCAAAATGGCATATTTAACAGCTTGGAAAATGTCTCAATAATAAAAGATATGCTCTTTTTTAATAAATTGAAAAAAATCCAGATATTCTAATTACGTGAAAACAAAATTATAATAAATATTATTATAATAACAGTAATAAAAGAAGGAGTCCGTGTATGTGAGCATATTGCATAGCAACAGATCAAGAAAGCTCCATAGCTGAGAAAGTAATACTAATTTTAAGCACGCAGTATAAGAAGGGTATCGATCAAGGATTCTCAGCCACGGAGGAATTCCCCCAAGGGCGGAATTTCATAGTTCCAGGGGGGAACACAGTCAGCCTTTTATTTACCTGTTAAGCACTTATTTTTTATTTTATGAATATAAAAATCTATTTTTATTTATTATGCACAGAAAAATCTATTAGTTTTTATTTTACGAATATAAAAATCTATTTTTATTTATTATGAACAGAAAAATCTATTTAGTTCTAGTTTTGGTATTTATCATTTTCTACACTTTTCCTTGTTTAATTTATACAATACGTGAAAAAATACTCTAAATAAATATACATACATTTTTGAAGTGTTGGAAAGAAGAGGGGGGAATGATCGTCTAGCAGTGGTAAGAAAGAAAAGATAAAAAAATTATACCACTACCCATGCAGTTCCCCCCCTAGGGGTCGATGCAGAGAACTCTGTGAAGCTACTGGCTAGGATCTGTACCTAGGTAGTCTCGGCCACTGGGGCATAAAATTCATGAGCTTGGCGGTTCCAGAATTCCAAAGAAAGGTCATTTTATACGGCTGGACTGCGAGGGGATTGGCGAAGACCAGTGCCCTGTGAGGAGAGCGGTAATAACTCTGTAATCCGCCAGGCTGTTGGCCCACCGTAGGGGATGGTGTCCCTCCGGTCAGAACAGAGGTGATAACTCTGCACTCCGTCTGGTGCGGTTGGTCCACAGGGATAAAGGTCCAAGCCCGTGTAGTACTGGCAGGTAGCATATATGACGACAGTCAAATCTCCAAACGTGCATGTTCCAACCTTCTGCGAAACCCGAGAACCGGGAGTGGTGACCCCGCGTGCCCGGGAGGTAGCAGTTGGTTACGAGAGAGTTCTTTTGAAAAAGTCAGCTGTTTCGGTAGTGTGGGAGCTGGGACAGTAGCAGGTGAATATTCTTATTTTCTTCTCTTTGACAAACTACCGACTGATTGACCCACCTCCCGCCGAATACAGAGGTTTCCAGGGGTTTCACTCCGTGTCGTGCCGTAATCAATGAGTGTTGGCCGTACACGTATCTAATGACTTACCCATGCAGTGTCCATTCAATAAATTTGAACGAAAATGCTTCGTTCAAATTTATAGAATTCGTGTATCAAATGCTTCGTGTGGACGAAAATGCTTCGTGGGGTTTTCATATATGCACTTTTTGTCGTATAATCCTTTAAGTGGCCGCTGGCTATTCATTAGTCAGCTTGCTATAGCCAGTGACTTGCTTGCGGTTTTTCATTTCTCCTCCTTTCCGCTATATGGATGGAGTGGAAGAAGCAGTTAATGAAGGGAAAAGTCCTGTTTAATTGTTTTTTCCCCTTTCGAAATAATGGAAAGAAAGTTTGCACTTCCATAGATCAAATGCATATCGGCGATCTCAGACTTCTTAAAGCGTTACGTACTACTTGAAATCAACATGGGAAATGGCAATTTACACTATCGGACAGCTATCACCTTCCGATTTTCAAAAAACATCATATACCACCTCAATGCACTATTGCCCCACACATACCCCATTAAAACATTTGCTTATTTCGATCTCCTCTAACTTGTTTTTACAGTTTTTGCAGATATTTTATAATCACTTTTTATACAACTGAGAATTAGCATGAATATTTGTAGAAATTATTAAAATTTGCAAAAGATGGTTCTAATACAATATTACGCATGTGGTACAGATTATTTTTATAAGTATTAATCTAAGAAAATGGCTTGTACACATCGTCGTAGCATTTTTTAACCATTTACCAGTGATAAAAAAAGCAGATTCGTAATGTTATATGTATGTAAATGGATTGGATTATTCAATTATGGCAAATCACACGAGGGCTATCAGCCTAAAGGGAGGAATACTTTCGTGGAGGACTTTCTAAGGGAAACTGGCTCGTATACACGTTACACATGGGGAAAACCACGAAAACGCCCATGCAGCCAGACCGTTCGCGGAATTCGAACCTCGGGACCGAACTACCAGTGTTCAGCGTCTTTACTGTTCGGCCGCTGGTGGGCCCGTACGTAAATGGAAAAGCATTGTTGTGTTTCAAAGTTTCATGAAGAAGGTTCTCCAGTTGAAAGAAATATGTTTTATTTTATATTTTTTCTGCCGCTTTAGGAAAGTTGACTCTTTCATTAATACACAATTATAGACCTAACTAAACTACCTGAAATGTAACTTCTGATTTCTCTTATTTTCTCTGCTTAAACCGAACTATGACCCTTACCAAACATAATGTAGTTATTAAAATAAGTTTTTACAAATAACAAGTTTTTACGTATTTACTATAAAATGCAAAGAAATAACTAAGAAAATTAAAAAATGTTACGTTTTTATAATTTTCTTGTATAGCAAATGAAAGTTATGTAAGAAATATGTATCTAATCCAGTGGCCTTCCAACTTTGTACATTCATGGAAACCTTAGAGTTTAAGGGTTTTATGGCGAACCCCCTTCCACACTTAAAAAACTATACCTTAAAATAATATTTACAGTAGATCAATATGTTATAGGTACTTTTTGTAAAGACAATGAAAAATCTTGCAGTTTTTATTAATCAATTTTAACATAAAATTAATGTAATTTACTCATTAACAACCTAACTCGTGCCTCCAGGTGGTATCTACCATTGCCTTATACACAGTCCAGTCTCATTAATGTGATCACCTTTCAAAAGCTTGAATAACCACCTCTTGCAAAGCGGACCGCTGCGTGACATGCAGGAAGAGAGTCAATTAGGTTCTGGAAGGTGTTTACTGGGATGTTAAGCTATGCCGACTTCAGTGCAGTGACCAGCTGCGCTTGGTAACGCAGTTAAGGATCCACGGCGCAAACAGCCTAATCTAGGTGGCCCCACGGATTCTCGATTGGTTTAAGTACGGGAGTTTGCTGACCAAGGAAATACGGTCAACACATCCTGGTACTCTTAGAACCACGCACGCACACTGCAAGCTATGTGACTCTTCGCATTGTCTGCTGGTAGATGGCATGATTCTGAGGAAAAACAATTCACATGTAGGAGGTGGGCATGGTTCGCAAGAACAGATGCGTATTTCTGTTGATTCATCGTGCCTTCCACAATGATGAGTGCAGCCAGACAATGTGACGAAAACATTCCCCAGACCGTAATGCTCCCTCCTTCAGCTTGGAACCTCCGGCAATTGTTGCAGCTGTTTGCTTTCCGACGTTTCACGCAATATGCGCTAACGTACATTTGTCCGATGGAGCGTAAAACGCGATTCATCTGAAAAAGCCACCTGTCGACACTCAGTGGACGTTCAGTTGCGGTTGTGTCGTGCAAATTCCAGCCTTTGTCGCCGACGAACTGCAGTCAGCATAGGTGCTTTAGCTAGGCGTCTGCTGCGGAGGACCATACTCAGCAACGCTCGCTAAACCGTGATTGAGGAGACACTGTTGGTAGTTACTTAGTTCATCTAGGCGGTCAGTTGCTCAACAGTTGCACACCTATTCGCCCGAAAGCATCACCTCAGCTGTCTTCTATGGCCCCCTAGTGCACCACATTTGCCACATCGCTGATTTTGGATAGTGCGATTTTGTCATACACGGTGTACTTTAACAACGGCGACACACGAATAATTTACAAAATTAGCCCGTTTCGGAAATGCTTCCACCCTTGACCCCAAAGCCAAATCACGCCTTTTTCGACGTCAAATAAATCGCTCGTTTCTGCATTACACCAACGATTGCAATGTTTCCTGATTTTCTTGGATACCCTTTATAAACGTTCCACTGCATTGTGCTCCCACCTGCCTCCTGTGATTAGTTATTTCACGTTGACGACAAAAGTAGGTAGTGGTCACATTAATAAGATTGGACTGTGTATTTCATGACAGGGTTGTACTTGCCTTTTTTCTTATACGAGCTATCAAATCTAGCTCTATTGCTATTATCTGCAGTCGTATTTCATATTATGTTTTAATTTGTTCCTGTATTTTGTTTTGGTTGCCACATATGTTGAGAAAGCTATTTCACTTCAATGCATAGTTCAGGATAGTATTAAAATGTTTATAGTTCCAGATAAATAAAATATTACAAGATAGGTATTCTGTGAATTTACAACTAACATTTTTAAGAGCTGCTCTTTCTTAAATTTATATTTTAATGTCACATCTGTTGATATATCTATAAGGTGTTGTTCCCTTTCCTTCACTGGCAAGCCTTCTGATTTATCGTAGAATTCCAATGGATTTTTTATCAAGTTATACTTAGCTTTTTCTTCTGGAAACTTTCTTTTGTATTTTTGTACAATTGAAAAGGTGCTCCACTGTAAAAGTTTTAAGACTGTCGTCTAAAATTCAATTAATTTTCTATTAGGAAACTTGTTTAGATTTGCAAAGCACTGCACGTCATTCTCTTTTATATTTGGTGAACCACACATTTTAAGTTTTAAAACTATAACTAATCATAACCATAACCAATATAACTAATTAATCCTCATATTTCTTAGTCAATAAGCACTAGTCAACTAGTGTGAGTGCCTTATAATTTTCTTTTGGATTTTTTAATTTTGTTTCGAGGAACCCTGTGGTTCCGTGGAACACAGTTCGAAGACCGCTGAAAAAAACCATTTAAAACAGTAGATACGTTTTTAGAAAGAAATATCGAAACCTGGAAAAATCTGTCCATTCTAGAAAAAATAATTGTTAAGTCTGTTGCAATGATCTGCGCATCATTCAAAAAGTGTTCAACTGATGTATAATTATACGTACGAGCGATTTCTAAATTACATTGTTTATTTTTAACAGCGTTTACGCTTCGAAACGAAGGGGTAAAGAAAGAGCTACATTTCTAAACAGAAGAATGAACAATCGTTCGCTAAGTGGAAAGAAGTGCGATGGATTTATAAAATAAAATATTACCAGATAAGAGGTCAGTAAAATGTTTTCGAAGGAAAATGAAGAATACATTAATTTTTCATTGATTTCCTTTTTAACACAATGATGAGTTTTTGTTTATTGGTTACTGATTTAATGATGATTTTTTTATTTGAAATAAATGATATGTACTTTATTATTACTTTCTTAATACTTCCCTGGCATTTTGAAAAAGTTCTAATTTTTCGTGGCTCTTTGAAAATTTATATTTTCTCTAATTTTCCAAAAGTTTTCAAGTGAACCATGAACCATGCATTACATGGTATGAGTTTGACTCGAGAAAGAATAAGGCTTACTACTAATCAAACTTTCAAGTAGGTGATTATGGCGAATCAAGCAGCGTATAAGAACCTGATATAAACAAGAAGGCTTCCACAAGCAATGGCAATGCTTCTTACTTACGGCATTTATTACCAGCTGACAAAGTTCAATAAATAATGTAGACTCGATGACAGTGGCCAATGTGGAGACGTGGTCTGTATCCAGTAACTGAGAAAATAAGAGCATTTGCAATAAAAAGAACGAAAGAGTTCAGCGTAAATGATTTTACCTGATAACTGTTCTTTATGAATTATGGAAGTTTCATTTTCTAAGCTATCTTGAACGAGCCACGGGGGTGCTGTAGGAACAGCATCTCGGTTGCACATGTTGCTATTGCAGCAGAGTAGCACAGGCCATGAACCTCTCGCAATTGCAGGTTTCCGGTTTTCACACAGCAGCGGTGTTTTACTTGATATACAACCTCTTACTACAGGATGGCTCCCATCGCGCCGGTCTAAATACTGGCTGAAGCACATGCCTGTTGTATTGCAGTTTTGCATACGATGTTCAAGGCAATGTGTTGTACTGCATACGCAAGTGATACTTATACCTGCAAAAAAAATATGCATGTTAAAAGTAATTTTAATGTGCGTTTTTCACGGAAAATGTGAGAAAATTTATATGGTAAGAGTAAATTTGGAAAAGTCTAAAATTATCACAATCAAAATGTAAGACTTCTTCGTATCCTTAGAAAGAATATAATTGTTAAATATTCGAAAGACAAGTAAAAAGTTAATTATTTGTTAGTTGTTGAATATTAAGGAATTAAGGTGACAACGGAATTTTCCCACTTTCTCCATATGCTACTTAAATACAAGTCCGTATCCCTTTAATCTTAGACAAATAGTCTCAAACTGGCGGCTTGCATGTGGCCCCTGAAGCATTTTATGGGGTCTGCAAATACATTATCCATAAATAAATTAACTTTTCAATCAAATTAATTATTATGGAGAGAATTTGAACAAAGTTTTGGTATTTTAATGATTTTTAGTTTAATTTTACATTATTTTTATTATCAGTAATACGAACGGGAGTAATGCCCCAGAAAATCTACACGAAATCTACGAATTGATATAAATTTTATTCAAAGATTTGAAAATGCAGACTTGATAAACTTTTTAGCGTACATAGGGAAAGTTAAACCTTCAGTTACGAATTTTCACAACAAGAATAAAAATCGGAAATACATTTACATGTGAGCAGTTTTTTTCCGAAGTTGAAAATGAAAAAGTCTAAAAAAAGGAACGAAATAGACCAAACAGTATCTATAATTTGTAAATAAAAACTGTTTCTAGTCATTTTTCTCCAAGGTTACAATTTTTATCAAAATCGAAACGCTATGAGGTGTTAACACAGAAGGTTGTAGTAAGAAATAAAGAAATTTATAAATATTACAAATATATGTATTTTTCTGTATGCGTCAAAGAAAAATTAAATGAATAAAAGTAATAGACTATTATTTATTCGTTATTATTTATTCTCAAAGTTTTTCCGTTTATTTTTACTTCTTAAAATTAAACTTAAGCTACTTGGTAACTAATTCAACATGTCAGAATTATTTAAAATAAATGTCAGTCTGAAAATTTAATATTATTAGCTGTAAGTTTCATTGAATTACACACTCTAACCAACATAAATTTCTTGCAGATCATTAGATTTCAAACAGAAAATAAACATAAATTGGAATTTTCTCTTTTGTATTATTACTGCTAGATCAATTTTTAAAATGGCAATGAGAATCAGCTTAAGTAGTATGCAAATTGCTGATAGATATTTAGTATATAAAATTTTATTTAAAAAATTTGTTTTGTTTCAACAAAACTTTTCTTTTCTGTGAAAGAAAATACATCGGCCCGTTTACTCCTTTTAGTCTTGCATTCGCGTCCGCATGTAGTTTGAGTTTCATACCACTGCCTTAGGCCAGTCACAGCGAAGTCTCTTTATATCTTCACCTAATGGACCGCGAGTGCTCTGCCATTTCGCCCAAAGAGCACATCTGTTTACAATGGGTAAAAATTAATTTAAACATATCGAAATTAAATTTTGAGAAAATTTATCATAACCGGGAGGGTCTATTATACAGCTGAAATAGATGTACAAAAATTAAGTTTTGGTTAAACAACACGTAATTTTTAAATTAATTAAACATTAAAATTGCAGTGGTCTTCAAACTGTGTTCTACGGAACCCCAGGGTTTCGCGAGTTTTAACTGCAGGGTTCCGGAAGTCAAAATAAAAAGTCGAAAAGAAAATTATAAAGCGCTCACACTAGTTGGCTACCGCTTATTAATTAAAAAAAGTGAAGATATATTTAGTTACAGATTAGTTTTAAAACTTAAAACGTGGTTATCAAATGTTAAAGATAATGACGTGCAATGTTGGCAAAACTAAACGTGTTTTCTAACGGGAAACGAACTGAATTTAGACGACAGTGTTAAAAATTATACAGTGGAGCACCTTTCACACAGTTATAAACATTTTAACACCATTCGGGGAATAACGCATTTAACTTAAAAAGCTTTCTCAACGTATGTGGCAACAAAAAAAATATAGACACAAGTTAAAAGCAGAATATGAAATGTGACTCCAGATAACATCAGTACAGCCAGATTTGAAAGTTCGTATAAAAAAAATACAAGCACACATCTGTTACTAAATAAAAAACAAAGATAGGTGACACCTGCGGAACAAGTTAATGAGGAAATTACATTAACTAGATGTCAAAATTGTTTAATAAAAACTACAATAGTTTCCTTTATTGTGTTTACATTAAGTACCTATAACACACTGATCTACTTTAAATATTATTTAAAGTATAGTTTTCTAGGTGTAAGATGAGTTTCCCCGTAAAACCCTTATAGTTCTAAGGGTTCCGTGAATGACAAACTTTCAAGCCCACCAAAGAATCGCATTTAATATATTTCTAAATCATGTCGTTAAATATTTTTAAATTATGTCATTTTTTTGTCAGAAATACCTCCGCGATGATTACTAAACTAGCAATGAATCACAAACCATAAGTTTCTCCTAAAAAGGGAGGGATGAAAGAGAAGAAGAAAAATAAGTAAGATATTTCTAGTGCTTAAAAAAATATAAGAAATATTCTGAGGGAGACAACGATACTTCATACGCATAGAAACACTAAACCAATGACCATTCCATTTAAAAAATAAACAAATAAATTTCACGAGTACATCGATGTCGTAAGTTTAGCACTACTTCTTACCAAAGCATGAAGGAAAATTTAAATCATATAATCTGAGATGAACTTTAAACTTGCAGTTACAGGTAGAGTGATACTTACTTAGCTGTTGAATAAGTTTATCTAAGGGGCTTTCACGCTTTTTCAAAAATCAGTTAAAATACATAATATATGATACGCAAAAACCGAGATAAAATCAATATTAAAATTATATAAATACATTTTAATCATTTAAGTAGATTTTAATGACTTAATGAAATGTTGATTGAATATGAATAAACGTAATTTATAGCTTAACACTCAGCAATGTTAAATTATGCTTTATCTATACAGATGTTGACTAGATGCGAAAAAAAAAATTTATATGTATCTCCATAGAATATTTTTCTACTCAAATTACAGATAAAGGTAACATTCCCATCATTGAAACGGAGTTTTCTTAAGAATCTTTAATACGCAAGTAATACATTTTATAGAATTTTTAGTTAAATCGAACATACAGATTCGTTCGCAAAGGATTTAATGGCGGTTCAGTAAATAGTTGAAAACTCATGCATTCAAACTTGAGAAAAAAAAAGTTGGAAACGAAAAGAGCTGCATAATGAAGTTTTTCATTGCCTTTTCTCATGATTAAATAAAGACGAATGCAAATAAACGCTATAAAAAGCGGTATATGAAGTCCCTTCTTGCGCTGAATTGGACAAAAAAAATTAAAGAGGATGGGGTAAACTGAATTGCGTGAAATTTTAATAATTGAAGTATTTACAGATTCCACGTTTCTACTTTAATTATGTTCCCACCTTTTTTATAGCCTTGCCTTTTAACTATGCTATTTGATTAAACGCATAGAAAAAAAAAAAAAAAAAAAAAGGTTTAACAAAGCCACGTATTTTTGTGGAAAAAAAAAGGGAAAAAGGGAAAAAAAATATCCCTTCCAGCCCTCCCCCCAAAAAAAAAACTTTTAGTTTTCCTGTCTGAGCATTTCTAGATTCTTTTGTGCTTTTGTCTCAAGTCCCGCTTTCCCGATTACGTAATAACAAATGTCTGTTGCCATTCAAACGAAACTATTTCCCCATTCTTTAAGAAAAATAAAAACAGCCGCAGCAGAAAAATAAACACGCTTTCGAATATCACAAAACATAATTAAAGAAAATCATTTGGTTCTGGAGAAAAGCAAACACGGAACTTGGAATTTTTTGAAATTTATTTATCAAAATTTGCGCACAAAGAAAGCAAACACGCTGCGAATGCTTAATTGAGCAAACAAACACGAAAGCTTACTCATCTTGGTTCGCGATATTTTTACCTTGAGATTTTTTTTAATTCGCCATTTTTTTAAGGTAACTCTAGTTAGTTCTACGCTAATGAACTTAATAAATGCTCGGAATAGCTTGATTTCTCTTTTCTTCACCCTGTCGAACTCTTTTTTTCTAACTTCCTCCCCCCCCCCATTTTAGGTCTTCTCACTTAGAGATAACGAACACTAGAGGGCGCTCATTAGTCGTATGGTAAAAAGAATGCTTTTGTTCACTTTTAGTTGCTCGAAGTTATTTTGTAGTCAATGACTGGAGCTGGCAACTAAGTTTAAGAAAGGTTCTAATAAATAATTCGAACATTCTTGGAGAATAGTTAAACGCGTATAATTATTTTTTAAAAAAATCCGTGACCGTTTTTAGTAATCAAATTACTTATCCAAATGATATCGAATTAATAATAAAATTACAACAATCATCATTCAGATTACCTTTCAGCTGATCATTTAGATTTCTTTTCAAAAATTGCATTTAATTTATTTTAGTTATTTATATTTAAGTGGCTGTTAATGTATTTCTTTCTATCATATTTTTTTTTTACATTCTGCCTTCGAAAGATTTTGGTAAATACATTTTCGTAGCTTCCATAAGTAAGGCTACATATTTTCATGTTTTGAAAAGTAAATAACTAGTCATTTTGTTCTAGCAGTGGCTTTGGATTAGTCCGTAATTATAGCATCAATATGGAAGTTTTCGAGTAGAATATTTACATTGTCTGAATCAAATCATATATTGTAGCTTTCGACGAGGGTCATAGAAGATCCGAGATTTCGACAATCCCTACAAAGCTGTAGCAGCCATTACAGTCGGAACAAATTTTCAGTTTTTGAAGATCGACGAGAAACGTTCGCCCAACAGTTCTAATCAGAAGACAAGAAACATTCACAGGATAGCTGTAATTTAGTCTTCTGATAAAGGGTACGAAAAGTACAGAAAATTCAGATTTTTAACCGAAAATGATTCACAAGAATGGCAGTCTTGCATGGTAATAGATTCCTTCAATTTCTCTTACATCAGTTTTCTCCAACAAATGTAA